GCACACAATCCTTTCATTTTCTGTAAACTCAAATGCCGGAGTATTGGAATTCCCAGACATTGGCCTGTCTTAGGACAACAGCGGAGGAGCAGAGCTGCCCTCGGAGTGTCCCAGAAATGTCCTAGCATAGGTGACTCCTCTGTGAGTGACAGACGACAGCCAGAGTCTCTGGACAGCAGACAGGGCTGGGAGTCTGAACCGCTTCTCACTGTGTTTTTAGTCTTTGCTCACAATTAGCCCCGGGCAGACTGGGGAATCTTCATCCTGTGTCAGTTTCCTTTCCGTCTATTTGATGAACCAGCGACAATAATGAAAAGAAAAATGAACTAGTTTCCAACTTACTTTGGCTAGTCTTGAAATGCAACCTAAGAATCTTCAAGGTTCTGACCCAGCAGGCTGTGTTTCTATGGCGCTTTACCACAAAGTGGGAGAAAGGTTATGAAAAAGAAAGGACTTGGGGCTGGAGAGATGGCTCAGAGGTTAAGAGCACTGACTGCTCTTCCAGAGGTCCTGAGTTCAATTCCCAGCACCCACATGGTGGCTCACAACCACCTGTAATGAGAGCTGGCACCCTCTCCTGTATACATAATAAATAACTTAAAAAAAAAAAAAAGAGAGAAAAAGAAAGGACTTGAAGATTTTCCCATTCGAATCTGAATTCTTTGATTTTCTTTTCTTTTTTTTCTTTTTAAAGTTTCTTTTTTTTTTTTTTAAAGATTTATTTATTATGTATACAATATTAGGCCTGCATGTGTCCCTGCAGGCCAGAAGACCACACCAGATCTCATTACCCGTGGTTATGAGCCACCATGTGGGTGCTGGGAATTGAACTCAGAACCTCTGGAGAAGGAGTCAGTTCTCTTAATCGCTGAGCCATTTCTCCAGCCCCGAATTCTTTGATTTTCACTTCTGTGTTGTTTTGTTTCATTTTGGCAATGTGGAGATGTAATCCAGGGCTTCATAAATGCTAGGCAAGTAAGTTTTACGTCCAGATGAATTCCTCCTCTCCTTTCCTTCTCTGTCTCTGTCTGTCTCTGTCTCTGTCTCCTCTCTCTCTCTCTCTCTCTCTCTCTCTCTCTCTCTCTCTCTCTCTCTCTCTCTCTCTCGTGTGTGTGTGTGTGTGTGTGTGTGTGTGTGTGTGTGTGTGTGTGTGAATATCCTGCCTATGAAGGCCAACAGAGTAAGTCAAATTCCCAGGAGCTGGAGTCACAGGTAGTTGTGAACTGCCTGATGTTGGTGCTAGGAACTGAACTCCTGGGCAAGAGCAGCCAGCCCTCTCTCCAGTGTGCCCCACCTCTCATTCCAAGTCCTTTTTTTTTTTTTTTTTTTTTTTTTTTTTTTTTTTTTTTTTTTTTTTAGGAAAAGAATGAATCGTGTCTGCTTTTAGAATTGCAAGTTGCAAAATTCCCGTGTGAATCCCACCTGAACACAACTCCAATATTCTAATTCCTTGAGAAAGCAGATTTACCCCGGCAGACAGTCACACTAGCATTTCCTGTCAGACTTCTGTCACCTGCCCTGCATCTACTGAGCTGTCCTGCTTTAGGATAAAACAACAACAACAGCAGCAACAACAACAAAACAATGAATCACTTAACAGAGGTGCACAGGGTTAAAGAGAGACGACACATTTTGCATCTTTCGGCACAGTGATACACCAGATCAGGACACCCCAGAGTTCCTTGTGTTTGCTGATGCAGACTGGATACCATGGTGGCTTCTGATTCTGAGCTAACATAGGTATGGGGTAATAGGAACATAAATCTCTCTTGAATGGTTTAAATTGTCTTTTGACTAGAGATTTTTTCTTTTTTTTTGGACCTGCCCTAATTTCTGATGTCAGGTCCCTACAGTATTCCTGCTATGTCTCTCAGGTCTCAGTGAGTGTGTGTTTTATACAGTGCGATCGCACTTTGAACTGAAATAGACCACAGCCAGACTCCTGCTGGTGCAGGCTTCTCAGGGCTAATGAGCAGGTTCACTCGCTCTTCTCTTTGGTTTCTTTGAGTTGGTTCAGAACATAGAGATGCTGCATCAACATCTTAGATTGTATTTGTGATTTTTAAAAAGATTCTTAAAAGCTGGCTCCATAGCTGAGCGTGGTGGCGCACGCCTTCAATCCCAGCAGTCAGGAGGCAGAGGCAGGCGGATCTCTGTGAGTTCAAGGCCAGCCTGGTCTATAAAGCAGACGGCGAGGGCTGTTACACAGAGAAACCCTGTCTTGAAACCAACCTCTCCCCCGGCAAAATAATATCGGAAGATGGAGGTGCCCCAGAAGCTGGATTTACATTCTCTCTTTGTTCACCTCTAGGATTGTTTTTTTTCGTAGGGACAAGTTCCAGTTGAGTCACAAGCCAATTCCCATCTCTCTCTCCATTTTGTTTTCTTTTGAGACAAGGTCTCCTTACCTAGACTGTCCCAAATTTACTATGTAACTGAAGATGACCTTGAACTCTCAGTTTTATACCTCTGCCTCTCCAGTGCTGTGATTACAGGCATTTACCACCATACCTGGTCTTTACGCTTTTTAAGTGCCTTAACTTCGATACTGACTCCAGGGAGCTTGGCAGCCCACAAGTGTCATCTTCAGTTCTTTATGTGGCTGAGACTCCAAGGCAAATTGCTGTCATAAAGTCACACCCCGTGAGATGAGATTCTACCAGGTGGTGGCAGACCTTTGTGTCTTGGATTTCTTTCCTTCACCACACCCTTAACCTGGGGTTGGACAAGGGCTGGGCTATTCTCTCTGCTAGGCATGGGATCAGATATTGAGGGTGGCCTAATTCTGATGTCAGTTCTTCCTGTCAAGGACTTAAGAAACAGAAGAAGAGTCAAGGGTGGAGAGATTGAGGCTCTATGACTTATTGTCATGCTGTTGAGGCTTCTAATCCTCTTGGATATGCCAATGCTCTGATTCAAGTTGCTTCCACAATGATTTTTTAAAAATTATTTCTTTCCTTTCTTTCTTTCTTTCTTTCTTTCTTTCTTTCTTTCTTTCTTTCTTTCTTTCTTTCTTTCTTTCTTTCTTCCTTTCTTCCTTCCTTCCTTCCTTCCTTCCTTCCTTCCTTTCTCTCTCTCTCTCTCTCTCTCTCTCTCTTTCTTTCTTTCTTTCTTTTTTTTGTTTTATTTTTCCAGACAGGGTTTCTCTGTGTAGGTTTGGAGCCTGTCCTGGAACTCTGTAGACTAGTCTGGCCTCTAACTCACAGAGATCCACTTGCCTTTGCCTCCCAAGTGCTGGGATCCAAGGTGTGTGCCACCACTACCCAGCTTAAATTCTTTCTTCTTAAAGAGTTATTTTTATTTTGTGTATATGGGTATTTTGCCTGTATGTATGTGTACCACGTGTAATGCCCAAGGAAGCAAGAAGAGTGAATTAGATTCTCTAGAACTGGAGTAACAGACGGCTGTTAGCCACCATGTGAGTTCTGGGAAACAAATCTGGGTCCTCTGAAAGATCAACAAGTCCTCCTAACTTTCCAGCCACCTCTCCAGCCCCTATTTATTTATTATTTGTGAGTCTATGTGCATGAATGATGCTGTGTGTGTGTGTGTGTGTGTGTGTGTGTGTGTGTGTGAGTGCAGGTGCCAAGTCATGCATGTGATCACAGGTCAACATCATGGAGTTTGCTCTCTCCTTCCATTTTTTTTTTTTTTTTTTTTTTTTGTTTTTTGAGACAGGGTTTCTCTGTGTAGCTTTGCGCCTTTCCTGGAACTCACTTGGTAGCCCAGGCTTGCCTCGAACTCACAGAGATCCGCCTGCCTCTGCCTCCCGAGTGCTGGGATTAAAGGCGTGTGCCACCACTGCCCGGCTTCTCCTTCCATTTTTACATAGAATCTGGCGGTGGTGTGGAACTCAGGTTGCCAGGCCTGAGTGACAAAGGCCTCCACCCACCGAGCCATCTCCTGGCTGGATTTTTTTTTTTAAGTCAATGCAAATGTGGTTGAAACCCAATGCCAGCATGCCAGAACACTGTAACCTTTGAAGACTTGGGATTCCACGAGAATCGAGAATCATTGCTGCTACATTCCAGAAACCCACACTGCAGACACAGACATCTGCATTCTTGCCTGCAGCTGTTGGCTTCCCTCCCTAACACACATTCTGTAGAGTCCTGGTGGCTCACACTTCCCAGGAGAACAGAGGTGAACAGGCCCGACTCAATCTGAAGATAAGCTGTGATGGGCTGGGTCTGTTGTGTAGCTGGGTCATTCAGGACTGATAAGTAAACTTTAGTAATGATTATGAGAAGGGTGGTGGTGGTGGTGGGGCTCAAAAGGAAATTAGGCAGGTGGAAACGCATGACTCTTTCAATTTCCTGATGGAAAGATACCAAGAGAAACAGAAATCTTTTGGACAAAATAGTACCAAGTACCAACCTTTGGCCTTGGTTGGATCCACAGAATAATATTGCCATTCTCCAATAAACAAATCTGGGCTGGGATGTAGGTCAGTGGCAGACCACTTGCCTACCATGAGTAAGTCCCTGGGTTAGAATCTTCAGCACCAAAACAAAGAGAAAAAAACCCTGAAAAAAATCTCTATCAGCCCGGGGTGGTGGGGGTAGTGGTGCACACCTATAATCCCAGCACTCAGAAGGGCAGAGGCAGGCAGATCTCTGAGTTTGAGGCCAGCCTGGTCTACAGAGTGAGTTCCAGGACAGCCAGGGTTACACTGAGAAACCCTGTCTTGAAAAATCAAAAACCAAATATATGTATACACACACACACACACACACACACACACACACACACACACACACATATGCCCAGAACTCATTATGTAGACCAGGCTGGTCTCAAATTCAAATAGATCCACTAGCCTCTGCCTCCAGAGTGCTGGGATTAAAGGTGTGCACCAACACACTGCCCTGTACATATAATATGCTTCTTAATGTATACCGAATTAACCTACTTTGCTTTCATGAAGAACACAGGAAAGTGACAACATTCCGTTTATTTTCATTTCCAACTGTCATTACAACAGCCATTTTAACTTACAGAAGACAGCCAAGGCTGGCGTCACTTCTAGACGGACTGTGCTCCAACTTTCTGTGTCCCTGGCTTTTGGAGCTCCTTCTTCATATTCCACAGGTAAGAATCATATTAGTAGAAGCAGAGTTATAATTTTCACCCTTGAAATTGATGTTGAGGCAAAAATTTCCAAGTCAGGGATAGTGATGTTTTGTTTTGATCTAACATGGTAGGTTTTATGGTCTCCCATGTTTTTTACATCTTTCTCTTCCCCTTTCCATGTTCCACAGCCAGGGTTTCTTTTCTGTCTGGATATTTTGGCTCCCTGCTCTAACTCCTTTGTATTATCTTTGCTTTGAATCCTCTCTTTCAGTGATCTACATTTTCTCCATGAATCCTTTATGCTTATCCCTTTACCCATCATATTACAAAAATGGTAAAACCTTTTTACAGAAAATTTCAAGCCCCAAATCTCACTTATGGATGTGGAAACCAAGGCAGACAATGTATATGACTTTTTCTTGGTCACACAGAAGACACTTACTGAAATTACCTCCTTGTGTTCTCAGAGTCTTGAGCTCAGGGCAAATGGGCACTGTACCACTGAGCTATATCCCCAGCCGATTTTCTTAACCTTCAAAAATTTTATGTATGTATTTGTTTATTGTTACTATTATTTTGTTTTTTGAGATGGTTTCTCTGTGTAGCCTGGCTATGCTGGAATTCACTGTAGACCAGGATGGACTTGAACTTCCAAAGATCCACTGGCATCTGCCTCCTGAGCTAGGGTTAAAGGTATAGGACACTATACCAGTCTATTTTTTTTTTTTTTTTTTTTTTTTTTGAGATAGGGTTCATGTAGCCCAGGCTGGTCTCAAACTCTTTATGTAAGGGAGGATGACCATGAACTTCTGATGCTAGTGCTTTCACTTCCAATTACAATATTACAATTGCTCCATCACCTCCCACCTGGCTAATGCAGACAAGATACTAGGGGTTTTCTCGTTTCTTTCTTTTTTTCCTGGAGCTGAGGACGGAACCCAGGGCCTTATACTTGCTAGGCAAGCGCTCTACTGCTGAGCTAAATCCCCAACCCCTTTCTTTCTTTCTTTCTTTTTTCTTTTTTTTCTTCTTTTGTTATTGTTTTGGAAGATAGCTCAGGCTTGCCTGAAACTCACTATGTAGCCCAGGCTAAGCTCAAAGTTGTGGCAATCCTGTCTCAGCTCTCTAAATATTTGTTTCTCATATGCCCTCCCATTCTACCCCCAACGCTGTGTCTGTAGGTCGTGTGTGCGCTTGTGTGTGTGTGTGTGTGTGTGTGTGTG